GTTGTACCGGAGGGTTCGGCAAGCCCGGACCGTAAGTTGATTGTTCAGGGACCCGAGGTTCCGAGAATAGAAACTTCCAGTATTCTCATGCTACGATCAGAATAAGATCAGAATAAGATCATACCCTTGAATCCTGCAATTCATGGAAGAATTGACGTCATGCAGTGGTTGATAGAGCACAGCCGCAGTGTGTGGCTGTGAGGTGCCACTGTATGTATGTACGTAGTTAACGATGTATCGCGGGGATGAGTACAACTGTACACTGCACAGTACTCTTACTACCAAGACGAGTATGTGGGATCAACTGCACCAGTGAAATAGCAGCAAACATCCACTAGTGGTGTCTCGGCTTTGTATCACTAGACCTGAAAAGGCATTCATTTCTCCGCCGAGAGCCTTGGGTTCGTAGGCAACCGGCCAAGTAGGATGGAATTTTCTCAAAGTTACCGGATCAAGGTACCATTGTGACGATCGGTCGAAGTTTGGCGGGGCATCAGTCCAACCTGAGATGGTCATGACAATACCGCCGCGTTACTCAGCCCTGTAAGCACGGGACGCAGCACATGGCCACAGGTGACACAGCCACCCCGCGCGCTTGATGCGAATCTGTCTTGGACGTCCATCGAATCACCTTAATCACCACACTAGAGTGTAATGATTGTGTACGGACTAAGGAGTCTAAGGACGGAGTGACAGGTTGACGGGCAGACGCCACTGCCATACACACAGATACTTACACAGCCTTGGAAGTTGACAGTACCCGTACTGAAAATCCGGTACAAGTGGAAACATCGGGGCTTGGCACACGGGGGAAGAAGATTTGCCTTGGGCGCATGGTGGGGTTGTTTCGCTCTTGTCATCAGTAACTCAGCCCTGTGCTCTTAATAGATCATCCTATCAAGTGGCCAACCCATCTTCTTATAAAAAGGTCCCAACAGCCCCGTTCTCTCACTCTTATCTTCATACTCATCCATCACTCTTCATCCATTCAAACTTCCTTCATCTTTAATACATTAAACTCTACACTACACATCATGTCTGGCTACGATCAGTACAACCAGCAGGGCGGCTACTACAACCAAGGCCAAGGCCAAGGAGGCTACGGTCAGCAGGGTGGCTACCCCCCTCAGGGCGGCTACCAGCAGCAGGGTGGCTACGGACAGTCTTCCGGATACGATCAGGGATACAACCGTAGCGGTAGCTCCGGCTCCGGCGCTGCCAGCGACTACTACGGCGGTGGCGGACAGTCCGAGCACCACCAGCAGTCTTACGGCGGTCAGCAGAACTATGGCGGCCAGCAGCAAGGATATGGTCAGCAGAGTAGCTACGGAGGGTATGTATCTTCACCAGCATCTTCCTTTACACTACTGGACCACTCGACTAACTTTGATTCTCACAGATCCGACGAACAGGCTCCCGGCGGTGCTCAGGACGGTGAACGTGGCCTCGGCGGTGCTCTTGCCGGTGGTCTGGCAGGTGGCTTCGCCGGCCACAAGGCCGACCACGGATTCCTCGGTGCGGTTGGTGGAGCTATCTTGGGTCACATCGCACAGGACGGCTGGAAGCAGCACAAGGACAAGAAGGAGCAAGAGGAGCAGCAACAACAGTATGGTGGCTACGGTGGCAGCCAATATGGCGGTCCCCCCTCTCAGGGTGGATCCAACAACGGTATGATGGACCAGCTTGGCCAGTTCTTCAAGAAATAAGCTATCAATGTTCACCTCGCTTCTCCACGATGATCCCTTTCCACGACACGTGAACTAGCTCCTTTCGACTTCTACCTCGTTCGGCTGGCCGGGTTCGCACGATTCTCTTGACGTTTTTCTGTCTCTGCCTTGCTTCACATGGACATGTTCTGGGGATACACTTCTTCTTGTTTTCTATTCAGTTTGTTGCTACATCTGGCTTATTAGCTCACTTACGATGAGACGCGTTGTTCACTGGCCTTTTTTATTTTTATAACTATAGCTCTTGCTCCCTTGAATTAGACTATTGTCTACTTGAATCGAAGTGGATATTAGCTTCCATCTCTTCATTAAAGTAAACAGCCAAGATTAGACTCTTTTCCCTTCTACAGATGATCTCCATCGTATTGAAAAGCCCAAAAACCAAACCCCCCCACCCCGGACTCAATCAACCCACACTACGGATGCACCTGTCACCTAATCCACGACCCCAAGCAGCTATCAAACCACCAATTGCATGACTTGTCCTACATCCGTGCGATTCCAGATCGTAAGGATAGGCCTCCCGTCTCGCAATTCTCGTGCATTCCCGACGTTCTCTATCTCCCTTCGCCTGCCGGAATAGTAAGGCCACCTAATTGAAGCGGGGTTCTCTCAACGTTTCGTGGCCATGACCCCGATATTAACGTTCCAGTCTAATGCACGGCCGCCCAATAGATTGCCTTGCTTCGGGATATTTTTCCATGGTGATCGACATATACGGGTTTCTGTTATTTTTCGATATGATGTCGTGCGTTTTGGTTTTTTCCATCTGTGCTATGTGTATTGGTTGGTAAGTTACATAGGTCACTACCAAGAGAAACTAGGTACATCAAATTGGCAGGATTGTTTGAAATATGCGACCATGATCATCTTATTTGGATTCATTATGCATATCCTATATGTTGCTAAGGTAAGATTACTTTCCAGAGATAAGAGTAATATAGTTGTTTCCCAAGACGAAACAAACAAACGGTACTGAACATAACCCGATGGTCGAGAAAAGAGGCACGAAATGCGTCATATTGGTAATACATGTTTGTTATAACACCAGGCGAATCAAGGAATTTACAATGTTCTATACAGTTACAGTCCCATAAGTTTGCTTCAAGGCTCACACGTAAGCAGAGAGAGATAAGGTTGGAAAAAGAAATCAAGACAGGAAGAGAGCAACGCCAACGAAATGCTCTTCATTACTGGTCCTTAGCTGGGGTTTCCGGGGCCTGGGCCTGCGTCTTAGGCTGTTCCGGTTGAGGTTTGGCGGGCTTCTCGGTTTCTGGGACCTGGGCCTGGGACTCGGGTTGGGGTTCGGTGGGCTGCTCGGCTTCCTTGGGGGTCGAGGCCTGTTCGGTTTCGATGGACTGCACGGCCTCGTCGAGCTTGTTGGCAAGTTCGGCGGCCTCAGCGTTGGCAGCAGCGTTTCCAGCTTCGATTTGGGCGAGCTCGGCCAGACGCTCTTCGGAGAGGAGGTCTTCAGGAGTGACGGGTGGGTAGGTTAGGACTCCGTTCTTTGCGTTCTCCAGTCTCCTTTGTTGACCGGCTTCTCCTGCCCGTCCCAGGACACCGGCGATGACACCGATCGCACGCATGCTGTCGTCGTTGGAGGGGATGGGGTATGTGACGCGGGTAGGATCAGCATCCGTGTCAATGACACCGATGGTGGGGACGTTGTTGAGGCCACACTCGTGGAGCAAGACGACGTTCTCGAGAGGGTTCAGGCAGACCACCAGGTCAGGTTTGAGGACCGAACGGTCGGCCAAGGCTTCCCTGTACTTGGGGATTTCGTCATCCATAGCATTCACGACCTTAGTCTCGCAGTGGCCCAGGATCTGCTGTCCGTTGGTCAAACTGCCGGGAATCCATCGCTCGAAGATGTGGTAGCCCTTGGCCAGTTCGGCGGCGCGGACCACGTATCTCTTTTGACCCTTCCGTGTACCGACGAAGAGGATCAATCCGCCGCGGGCTGCGACTTCCTCTACCACCTTGGCCGCACGACGCAGGTACGCCGCGGTCACGTCCAGGGAGATGACATGGACGCCGTCTCGAATACCGAAGATATAGCGCGAGTTCTGGGGGTTCCAGCGGGACGTTGAGTGTCCGAGGTGTGTCTGAGAAGCGAGGAGCAGTTCGAGGGTAACGTCGGAAGGCTTAGGAGGGTTTCGGATAATCTCCTCTGGTCTGTAGGCGTCTGTCACGCTGCTGCCAAGGTCTTGGAATTTGTATCCTATGATGAGGTGTACACAGTCAGTCGATATTCTCCAAGGATGGCTGCCCTTTCGAGATGTAAAATTGCGAAGGCTTACTTCGTTCGCCTCGCGCCTTCCAGGCCAACTGTTCGGCACGCCTCCTTGAGATTCTCTCAGGAGCGGCATCATTTTGATAGCGGGACTCGATCTCGGCAGAACGCTCCCCGATACGGGTCTGAAGTGTGGTGTCGACTGGTGGTTCAGTTGAGTAGAATCGGTTGAGCGAGTTCAGCGTCCGAGCCTGGCGGTTGAAGGCATGAAGCTGGCGGCCTGGGCCAGAGAACAATTAGCGGATGTTCTTCTTCAAAGAGCACTAATATGATCGCAATTCGTAATTAAACTTACTCTGCCGCATACACAGTTGCCGGGCAATCATATTGTGTTGTGCTAGGTTGTGAGGCCGATTTCCACCAGCAATAACTTCCTGGGTTATCTTCCGCTCGAACTTTTGATGTCGGGCTTGGCGAGCTTGGTGCCTAAGGCAGCCAGGTACAGCGCTTTACCCGTTTGGATGTTCATACTCCAGTCTCCGGAGTACCCCATATTTGCTCTTAAGGTAGGAAACACATAAACATATCCTCTTTCTGATATTTGTCGTCTGGCAGGAATTTTTACAGCCCATCCACGCTACATCCAACGGACTAGATTTACAATTCGTGCATCCTCTCGCGCTTTCGATCAAGTTTACATAGAAGCTGCTGATTCAAAGTCACCAGGGAACTTCTCAAACGGAGCAATGCTCGTTTCAATGCAACCTTTCATACAACTTAAAAGCTAATAGTACTATGGACCAGGAGGTAGAGAAAAAGAAAAACGCATGAGGGCATCATATCCATAAATTGAGCCATCTATCACCTGAATGCTAAAACCGGATGACCAAAACAAGCCACTCCAAACTGTGCGTGTTTAAGAAAAGGAAATCTAATAGCTTTTTCCTCACTGTTGAATGTGAACGAAAATTGGATATCAATAGTTCATGGTAGGAAACAAAAAGAGAACGTGAATGAACAATGGGGGTCATTTCAAGGAGTTAATTTAACCCATTGCCTTCATGGCAAGCTCGACACTAAAATCCAGTTGTTAGCATCTTCCACACGAGATGTTTTCAATCGGGGGAAAGACATACACGACGAATGTTCCAGCCGACACAGGCATAGCTCTCAGCAGGGTAGGACCAATACCCTTCCAGAAGCCAGCGAGACCCTCGGTAGCATATGTCTTCTTGAAGCAGTCTGTCATGCTCTTGAACTGTTGCTGAGCCCCGAAGCCATCGCACTGCATCTTACTCTTCACCACGTCAAATGGGTAGCTGCTCAGCCAAAGCGCCTCACCAGCCAATCCACCGTAGGTGGCGACCTTGAGACTGGAGATATCCTCGCGGTTGACATTGTTGCGCTTGGCATCCTGGTTCATCAAGTATTCAAAGGTCAAGAACCACATGCCATAAGCCTGGATCTCACGGAGATAGGTGACGTTCTGACCACGGTAGAGGCCCCGCAGGACGCCTCCCTGAGCAGAGAGCTTACGGATGCAGTCGATAGGGCCATTGTACAACCGGTCTGCGCCGTGCGGCTGGGTCTGCATGCGAATACGGATATGCTCAATCGGCCCAGAGAGAACGGAGTTGGTGATACCCGCGAACCCACCAGCCATGTAATATTGCCCGTAGGAAAGGCTGCTATCGGCGTATTTCTTCTTGTTCAATTCCTCAAGGCGCCTGCGGGCTTCATGAAACGCACCAAATTGCACGCTAACCTAGTTAAAGTCAGTCCCTATCCTCTCCGCGTGCGGATCGGAAATGCCCGAATCTCCGATAAAGATAATGACTATTGCAACACTTACACAGGCACCGATTCCAATCAAGGGGGTCAATGTTCCCTTGTAAAACGCAGCGGGGCCCTCGTTCTTGAAAATCTTGCTCGCACAGTCGAGGGCGTTGGCATACTGAGTGGTTGTTTGCAACCGCACTTTGACAATATCTGCGGGGGTTAGAGTGCTCCACTACCTCACCGGCTATAGTACATACCGAAGGGTTGTCCTATACGAGGATTAGCAACTCATCGTCAACGCTATTTCACAATTCACTGAAGAAAACAAAGTGGAAAGAAGCACACTGCGTGAAATATAGTTGGTCCCGTGAAACTACAAAAACTATAATTCTACACGCGATAAAATAAATTGCAATGGCGAAGGGTATCTCAGCCCTGCGATGCTGATAACGGTCTCAACAACGTACCAAGAAGAACCTGAGCAATTCCACCGGCTGCACCAGCACCCAAATCTTTGATGGTGCGCAGGGCTCCGTCGCTCTTCTCAAAGTCCTCGAGTGCCCTCTCTTCCATAATGGCGATGATTCAGTGAGTAGTTAACCGGGGGCGATTGGGGCACGGCTAAAACAGCAGAAAGGAGTGGAGGGGAGAAAAAGGAATCAATGGAGTAGAGAGAAAGTAGAATATAAAAAAAGGTCCCCCGATGTTCTTATCAGAATAAACGATGGCGCAAAGCAATGAGAAATGCGGCTTCCGATTCGGCGGAGACGCCGATGCACGTGAGGCGGGCGGGAAAGTATTACGGAGGTTGTGCTGAGCTACGAGAGACTTTCCCTTACCGGCCGGAATTTTGCCCCGAGGGAAACCAGTGACAAGACAACCCACTCCTTGTCTCTCCATTATGCACCGGCGTGCGGCTTTGGAGGTGAGCACTTCCCAAACGGTCGATTGGACTTCGCTGTCCGTATCCTAAAGCAAATTTCTAATTATACTCTTCTACAGTTATCCCGCCGTCATGGTGTTGAGTGGACTTGCGCCGCCAGGCACAGAGATGTTCCTTTCTCTCCAAGATTACCGTACCTCCCCCGGCGGACCTTTCGTTCTTCCCTCGTAGCTTTCAACTCGTCCGAATCCTCTCCATCGAATATAGGTAGCGAAGAAGGCTCCAATGTTGCGACCCCAAAGCCCAAGTTTGGTGCTCGTTGGGGAACCAAACAAGCACAGAAACCGGCCGGTCTCAGTCCAGCAGAACAAGCGATGCGAGATGCCTTACTAGCGAAGAAGGCCGCGGAAGAACAGGAGCAACGACGACTGCAAGAACAAGAATTGCGTGCATCACAGCGTAGAGCGGAATCGCGGGCCGATTGGAACAGACCTCCAAGGCGACAGAACAGACGACGTCCTTTCGATGATGGAGAAAGCCAATCCCTGCAGCCTGATAAAGGCTTAGAGGTGAATAGCAAATATATACCGAGGAATCTGCGTGCTTCGGACTGGATCTGCCCGGACTGTCAATATAACTGTTTTGGGAAGCATCAGACATGCCCATGCTGTAAAGCTGTGCGACCAGATTTGGCTTGGCCGTCGTGGCCATCCAAGAATCCGGCGCGGAAAATGGAGAGAACCCCCAAGGCTGACACGCGCAAAGCTGGAGCTTCAGAAGCAACCTTGAAAATTCGGAGACTGGGTCATGAGATGCTGTCCGAAATGGATCAAGAACAGGGTGGTTCCGCAGCAATGACCAGACGGGACAATGCCATGAGGACATTTATGGCTAATAAGGGAAAGCCTGTGGGAGCGCGGCTTGTGTATGATCTCAAAAAGGAAGAGGAAGAGGCGGAAGCTCGAGAAGAAAGGATTGCCGAGCGTCGCCGTGAGCGACAGTCCAAACCGAAGCCAAAGAAGCAAGATGCTCCGGTAGACCCATGGTCCTGGGATTCGTCATCGCTCAAATTGAATAACGACGGCGATGTCACTCATTCTGAAAAGGCCTCGAAGCGCCGGGATGGCCGTAGGGAGCGGCAGTCCGAGGCTGATGAGGATGACGAGGAAGAAGACGACCGCCGCCGTCGCCGCGAGGAACGCAAACGGCAGAAGAAAGATAAAGCTCGGCAAAAAGATTTAGAGTCGGCCTCAATTCCATTGTATTTACCGGAGTTCATCAGCGTTAGCAATCTTGCTGATGTCATTGGGGTGCGGCCTGCGCAATTTGTTCAACAAATGGAAGATATGGGCTTTGAGGGCGTCACATACAGCCACGTTCTTGACGCGGAGACCGCCGGCCTGGTCGCAGCCGAATACAATTTCGAGCCCATTTTCGAAAGTGCAGAGGATGAAGACCTGGTATCTGCGCCCGAGCCTGAAGACAAGTCCATTTTACCCTCCAGACCACCGGTGGTGACCATTATGGGACACGTTGATCATGGCAAAACTACTATTTTGGATTGGCTTCGAAACTCGTCAGTGGCCGCTTCAGAACACGGAGGTATTACACAGCATATCGGTGCCTTTTCCGTGGCTATGCCCTCTGGAAAGACCATCACATTCTTGGACACTCCTGGCCACGCTGCGTTCCTGGATATGCGTCGCCGTGGTGCAGACGTCACTGACATTGTAGTCCTCGTAATCGCGGCCGATGATAGCGTCAAGCCTCAGACAATTGAGGCAATCAAGCACGCCACTGAAGCCAGAGTTCCTATTATTGTCGCTATTAGTAAGATTGACAAGGAAAATATCAATCTTGAGAAAGTCAAACAGGATCTTTCTGTCCACGGTGTACACGTCGAAGACTACGGCGGCGACGTGCAAGCGATCGGAGTAAGTGGTAAAACTGGCCAGGGCATGTTGGAACTCGAAGAAGCTATCGTGACGCTTTCGGAGGTTCTTGACCATCGAGCGGAGGTTGACGGCAAAGCCGAGGGATGGGTGATTGAGGGCACAACCAAAAGCTACGGCCGTGTGGCGACGGTGCTCATCAGACGTGGTACACTACGGCCGGGCGATATCATTGTCGCAGGCACAACCTGGGCTCGTGTACGCACTCTGAGGAATGAGGCGGGCGTCGCAATTTCCGAAGCTACCCCCGGAATGCCAGTTGAGGTCGACGGCTGGAGGGAGCAACCGTCTGCTGGAACTGAACTTCTCGAGGCTGTTGACGAGCAGCAAGCCAAAGACGTCGTAGACTATCGACTGGAGAAAACCGAGACCCAGAAACTGGGCCAGGATACTGTGGCGATCAACGAGGCACGGCGTGAACTACTCGAGAGGCGCCGGCAGGAAGAATCTGAGAACAATGAGGCTGCTAGCTCAGTCCAGGAGACATCTGGCCCTAAACCAGTACACTTTGTCATCAAAGCCGACGTTGGCGGATCCGCAGAGGCTGTCCTGAACTCGGTCACTGCAATTGGTAACAACGAAGTCTTTGCTAATGTGCTCCGTTCTGAGGTCGGACCAATCAGTGAGTTCGATATTGAGCATGCAGCCTCAGCCAACGGCCATATCGTCTCATTCAATATGCCCATCGACCCTGCCATGTCTCGTATGGCAGAAGTTCGGGGGGTCAAAATCATGGATCATAACGTTATCTACAAACTCATTGACGATGTCAAAGCAATCTTAAGCGAACAGTTACCTCCGTCGGTGAGTCACCGTGTCACTGGAGAAGCCGAGATTGGACAGGTATTCGAGATCACGCTCAAGGGAAGAGAGAAGACAGCCATTGCCGGATGTAAGGTACGCAATGGTACTATCAACAAGGCCAGGAAGGTACGAGTAATACGGGGCCAGGAAACAATCTTTGATGGTAAGCTCCCCGTCCCGGTTGACTACGTAAAACCCTGTTTCTGCGAGCTGGAAGCTGATCATGTACTTATAGGCTCTATCAATTCCCTCAAGAACGTCAAGAAGGACGTGACTGAAATGCGTAAGGACACAGAATGTGGTATCGGCTTCGAAGGCTGGACTAGCTTCGCTGTCGGTGACCACGTTCAGTGCTACGAAGAGATCTACGAGAAGAGATACCTCTGATTTTTCTCTGCTCCCATCCATCCATCCGCAAGCTTTATTTTTACCGTTCTTATGACCTTTCTGGTTACTGTATTGCTATTGGCGTTTTGACTGCGGATCGTCGGACTCTTCTCTTCTTTCCAAATGTGGGACTTACATGTATAATTGCATCTGGGCCGGTGTCTTTGATTGATATGAAGGGTAGCAGCAGAAGCTGCGGGACATTATGCTTCACGGAGATTCAGTTCTCATGTACAATATACTACGACGCAGTGGTCTACATAGATATCTGATCAAAATCAATTTTATGTATAGTAGTAAGGTTATACTGGCACCATACTCAACTACAAATGCACCGATACGAATCTCCTTGCCACCGTGGAAATGAATACGAACAGTAGATCGTATCCATCAGATGAGCACAGTCCCATAACCAAACTTGAACGCAACAATTAGTCCCTACCCAGATCCACCAACCCTTCCCAGTAAGAATCACGCCATCCATGATGAATCCATCGACCCTCTCGTATACGTTTTCCGAGCCTCCGAGTCATGATCAATAGTCCGGAACACGCTAGTAAAAAAAATTCCCCCCAAACCCACCACGTAAAAAGATCGGCCGCCATCTCCACAACAGGAAAACGGTTCCGAATTCAGGCACTGGCTATTGCCAAATAGCTTCGGTGCCTTGGCATACGTTACAAATGCGGCGTCGATCCACTTGCTAAGTATATTGTTTGGGATTTTACGTTGTAGACCCATTTTAGGGTTCCGGACCGGTATCTCCTTTAGGAAGGGGACCGAGGTTCCCGTCATCTTCGCCTCATAGAAACTTATTTTCTGATTACCTCAAGGTGAATCGAGCTCTGTTTTTGGGTTCGTTGCGTACCGTCAATCAAACTGTACTGTTTTTAGAACAGACGGACGAAAGGAAGGGAAAGGAAGGGTGTTGGTTGAGATGTATGAAGAGACGTTGATAACGCGATTGTGCTATGTGGATGGATGTATCACTAGTACTATTCATGGACGATTGAGATAACATCTTTCAGGCTTGATAGCCTAGCCTAGCGTTAGCTCCTCATGAATGTTAGTTCTTTCTTTTCATTCACTATGAGACGTCCATAGAACATATTTGATGCCTTATCCGGGAGACACCTTGTCCACTATACGAATGAGAATGGCATGTATTTCGGGTTTTGCTTACTTGCTAGTTAGCTAGTTCTATGTGATGTATGTGATGCACAGGTATCCCTAATGCCAATGCACGATGACATAGTCCACACAGGGTACTACTAGTTAATAAGTGGCCGCGAAGGTCCACAGCACCCCCCTAGCAGTACGTAAAGAACATATAGAAGCCTAGAAGGGTTCTCCTGGGGGTCCATTGATGATGGATGAATTAGGTTGTAGTTTCCGTGAGTACCGGAACTATTCGGCTGTTGTGAACTCACCTGATAATCTTGCGTCCAGTAGTAGCCTTTCAGCTAGCGTATATTGTAGCCATAGTGATATCAGAATACTTCCACCGTGGTGCCTGTATTGGGTGAGGCTATGACTCCCCACTGTGGTCCCTAGTGGCGTCTACTAGTGCGCGATTATCTAAAGATTACTGCCAGATATGCTATTATACTGCTATGGTAGCAAGCCTTTACGTGGCGAGTCTGACTGTGGGTTATGGCTTGTGAAGCCGGCTGTTGCTGGTCTATGCTGTTGGGCAGTCTCGATTAGCAAAACGGGTGTCGGAAAGGCTTGAGGGTTTAAACTCGTAGGATTATTTGAATTTCCATAAGTATAGTACTACACTCCAATATTATGGAACTATTGGGACTTACGTCTACGATTGTATGGGTCATGGGTGTAAATGCCGGTATATATATCTCGGGATGTATGTGTATACGTTGGAAATGCCACCAGATGGATTGAAGATATTCAATTGATTAATTTATGAGATAATCTTCTTGCATAGATATATTTACTGCATTTCTATGCATGTATCAAGGCCTTATTATTGTAGGCAATCTGGGTTCAAAGCCTTTGAGCACATAGGTTTCATAGTCAAGTGCCTTGCAAAACAGTGCAAACAGCTGCTTATAATTTTCAGCATCTCGTATTTCCAAGGCAGTTTGACCATGTGGCTAAGGCGACAGACTCGCATTCCTCTAATTGCTGGGTAGCTGGCATTTGTTTTGAAATTTTTTCAAGCCCCATATACCAAGCGACCCCTCTGCCCAGAGGACTTGCCAATCTGCGTACGGAGTGTAGGATAGGACTGAATTCACTGAAGAGCTTCTTGTGCGTGTCAATTTGGTCGACATGGTCGCTTTAGAGCGCTCCGAGGGTTCTTCTGTCCCCTTCATTCACGCATATCCCCACTGTTCTCTGAATATTTGTGCTGAGACACAGCGCGAAACCTTCCTAGTTAGACTACGGAAATCCCGGGGAGTCAGGGTTTCGGCATGGAGCCCGGAGGCATTTGAATCGGAGCTTCGGTTGACATCTCCCGTCATCCTTCGCATTCTCCGTGGGGTTTAAACCTGAAACTGCTGTCGCAGGTCTATTCTGTTTCATCCTCAAACAGAACTCCAGATATTTAATTAAACAGTGAAATTACGGTGAGAATCCTTTGGTCCAGAATATCCACCTGGTGTTCGTGTACCATACTATCGCCCGGATCCATAGCCGGAGACATGGAACAGTACTCCGGAGTATGTCAGTTATGGCAAAGACCATGCTCAGTCAATTGTAACTTGTGGAGGCGCTACCCATCTTGAATATACGTGACGATTGAATAGCATGTGTGAGCTATGCTAGTGTCTTCGTTTCCAGCCTCGGCTCATTTTGTTGTTGCGAGGACGATACATATCCTTTGAAGAAGTCATACACAAGGCGCAAAAAGCTGCTTCGAGTGCATCACAACATGGTCACGTTTCCGGATGTCAGCTGGCAAGGGCTCAGAATGTGATGCCCATTATCTTCATCAATGGTACTTCGAATATAGTATCCAAGCCCATCCCTCGGTCTGGCCCACTGTCGCACCATAGAGAGACATGAAGAGACCTTGTTAGCGTCGATGACGTTCAGAAAATTAAGCCCGCACCGGAGGTCTACAGCCCAGAGGATGGGAAAGTGCGTGCCAGAAATGAAAGACATTTGGGTGATCAGCTCCAATCCTTTCGGCATAATAGGGGCTCTCCACGTGGGCATGAAAGTCATTTGGATTGACCGGTCTGGGAAAAGATGGGCGGACAGTGCGGCGCCAGGCCTGGAACCGACAGCGGTTGTCAATAGCTTGGAGAAAATTCTACATGTCATGAACGACCGTACGGGTTAACTCGGTGGTTGTGGTTATTAGCCAATTTACACCAGGCAACGCAAAAATTAAGGGTGTACGCTGTAAATATTTCCAAACGCTCCACAAAAAGAAGAAGAATTTGGGGTAAGGCAGCAAGTTACTCTAACCTCCCATTTCCCCTCCAAGGGCCCATGGTGTTGTGAACCTCAGAGTGAATAGGGAGGTGTGTTCAGTTTAATTTTGGAAGAAGAAAAAAAATTCGTGGGCCGATGAAAAGAATTTCAATTTATAGCTGTGGCCCTGACCGCCCTGGCTTATCGATAAGATCATGTGCCTCGGATCTTGGTCCATAGCCGCAAGATATCCATGAAATCATCTCGTGTGACGAAGTACTATCGCTTCCGTCAGCGTGCTGATCCATCTCCTTAGCTTTAGTATAATAGATCTCAGCGTGGTTTCTTTTAGCGTGCACTCTGACTTGGCTTGTCGTTATGGCCCGATCGCTAGATCCTAGCAGAGCTGCTTGGCTGTATCCTCTTCGCGTCAGTGCAATGCTTGCTGCCTAGGTATACTTGGTTGTGACTACCCCGTACTGACGCATCTATCTAGGGTGTGTATTATTTCGCGTCGCATCGTTTCCTGTGGCCTTTGTTCAAGACTCGTCTAATTCCGATTGTTCTGCTTTCGGCGTTCATCTATGTGATTCTGTTCCTCTTTACCTATTTGCCCCAGGTCGCCTTTCTTTCTATCTTTCAAGGCCGTGGTGCTTGGGTCAATGGAGCAGTCCTGGTCTTAGGAGAAGGTGCTGCAATTGTGGCCGCACTATTCGAGGCCTTCTTTGTTGATGAAACCCTGGTGGATATCTTCGATGCCGTCCTAGTGAATGAGGGCCACGGGGAACTGGTCACCACTTCGCGGGTCCTATATCCGCAAGGCGATGATGTCGTCAAACGGCTGGGCAAGCCGATCCATAGTGCCGTCTATGCACCATTCTCTCTGCGACAGATCGTGGAGTTTGTTGTCCTCCTCCCTCTAAACTTTATTCCCGTGGCCGGGACGCCCATGTTTCTCTTGCTCACAGGGTATCGAGCGGGTCCGTTTCACCACTGGCGGTACTTCCAACTGTTAGATCTCTCGAAGCAGCAAAGAAAAGAGAAAATCCGCCGTCGCCAGTTGCAGTATACTACGTGAGTGTTGTTCGACCTTGCTGATCCACAGGGACTTGCTAACCATGGTCACGCCAGGTTTGGAACGGTTGCTCTGATCCTTCAGTTGGTCCCGCCCTTGTCTATGTTTTTCCTGATGTCGACTGCCGTTGGCTCAGCACTCTGGGCCGTGGATCTAGAGAACAAGCGCGATCTGATAGGGAGAGCGAGACCTGATGAAGCGGACGAGTATCATGACGGCAATACGATATAAACCTGTTTTGCCTAGAATTATTTCTTTCTTTGCTTTTTTGTTCTAGATGTTTCACCTTGTCTTTTCTGTTCTTTCTTTCTTTTTTTTCTGTTTACCATACGGGGACAGACACATATAAGAAACCGTTACCTGATTCGGACAGAAGACCGACTAAGTATTTGTCATCTAGTTTGGGTTGTTAGCTTGATAGTCGTCTTGTACTCTACTCTAGACTATTATCGTCCTCCCATTTAGAGTACGAGATTGAGGGGCTTTCCAGGGAGTGCTCAGTCCCCACCGATGATCCACCACCTTTTTTCTTGGACTCGGTGACTTGAGAGGTGGCGGACTGGGAACCCCTGAGCACTGCTAACGCAGCTAAGTGAAGGGTAGTAAACTCTGTTGACAGTGCTATCGACTGATTCAGCCAGTCAGTGCTCAAGCTTGGGTCCAGAATCACCCCATCCATTTATTTTTTCGTGCAGATAAGAAACCCTAAGGTGGAGATGGTCCAGAGCCAGCTATTGTATGGTTCGATCGCTCATTCGTCTTGACCAAATGCCGGCGGTGGATGTCCTGCGGCGGCACGTGACCGCCGCGGAGGCTCGACATTTGTTCGTGGAGACTCTGGAGAGTCCCATCCATCCTTCGACTGTTAGAACGGTCCGTGGCTATAAACTTCTTTTCAGCACAACGGGTTTATGCCCACTTTGGGAGGGGGAGTGCGCGAGCCAAGCATTTCTTGGCTCCACCACCATCGGTGAGGCACTTACCGGCTTGATTCATTTATTAGGCCCCGGGATTCCCAGGCACCGTACGGAATGCGACCATTTTTGAGGCTTAAGAGTCTAGCTAGCCGTTGAGCCCTTTTACTGTCTAATCACCGAGGCACGACTGCTTAATTTGTGCATCACCCGAAGAACGTCTGTGCAGATCGCCCCCGATCGTCCAATCTGCTGTCTGGAGATCACCTTCTGGGGTATCAGTCCGGGCAAGACATCGCAAATCCCAATCTGCTGCGCTCAGAGAATACCACAGACTGGTATCTTGGTATAAAGCCCAATGCCCTAGGCCCATGGATTCAACCCAAGCATGGAAACCGTCGCTACCTCACCTCTATACCCATGGACCAGAGAACCAGGCTGCGCAAGGCTTGTGATGCCTGCAGTATTCGAAAGGTGAAAGTGAGTAGCGAACGTGGTACCCTTTGGTCCGGAGACCGATCTAACGGACCCCAACCAGTGTGATACAAGCGGGCCGCCCTGTCGGTCGTGCGCAAGCTTGGATATCCCCTGTACTTATGAGCGACCAAGCAGGCGCCGTGGTCCTCCCAACCGTCATGCAGAAGCGCTTAAACGACAGAAGCTCACGGCATCGCCCGGTGGCTCCCCCACCCCGTCTGATCATACATCTCCAGAATCGACAGGGCTCTTGAACAGCCAACCTTTTCCGCCACCAGCAGTTTTCTCTTTGGAGCTGATTTGTCCGTTGTCTACTATACGACTCCTGATTGATGATTACTTCACCTACATCCACCCGCTAATACCCGTCCCTCATGAACCGACCTTTCGTGCTGCCCTTGATCGAAGAGAGGATGTCACCAACCGTACTTTCCTGGCCCTGGCGGCTCCATGATTGGGACTCTGGTGACTTCGTTTCCACGACGGCCGAGGCTTCATTTGAAGACCGCAGCCGAAAAGGCAGCGTATCCGCACTCCATGGCACTGGTCAAGAGATGTCGGGACGTAGCCGTCCAAGCAAGAGGCGCAGGGTATCTCGAACGGAGCCTGACGGTCTACGATGCAGCCATCGGCTATTTTCTGTCTATCTGTTCTGGATATATGTACAGTATGCGAACATGTCGCTCATATTTGTCCGAATGTTTGACAATACTGCATGTGTATGATTTATGCGGCCCTAGTACCCGAATTCGGACGATGAGTCCGCCGAGCCCAGACTCGTGCCTCTCGCAGGACCAACCCGGTCAGCCGGGAGAAGGTCAGCTTGACATCATTGAACAGGAACTTGGGCGGCGTTTGTTCTATGCTGTCTTAGTCGGTTACCGAACGCTGCAGCAGATGGGGTCAACGGACTCTACTTTTCATATACCCCCAGAAACCCCGACCGAGCGGTATCCCCCCTTACCCCTCGAAATAGATGATGAGTTTATTTTTCCGACTCATGTTGAACCTCAACCGGCAGACAGAGTTTCTCGCCTGGTGGGGTTCAACCTTAATGTCCGCGTATATAATTCATACAACCAAGTCTCGGCTTGGGAAGTGGCATTTGGGAGTGGCCAACCTTTTGACTGGGAACGGCAAAGGACTGCTGTCTGGGAAAGTCTACAGAAGGCCAAATCCGCCGTCGCTGACGTACCAAGAGAGCTTTCACTACAAGGTTCGGTATCGGGTCAGGGCCCTGGACCGAGCCCGACAGAGGATGAAAGGCGACACATCCAATACGAGATTCAGAAGGCAAACATTTACGCAAGCCAGCTAGGGACTCGGTCTTATCTGGTTGAGAAGTACTGGGCACTGTATGCCGCTTGGAAGGCATACCAAAAACGGGCTGAACAAGCGACGAATATCAGTTCATCGCCGGTCAAGCTCGAGGAAGACCAGTCCAGCGCGCTTGAGGCTGATGGGGACGCCCAATCGGATCATATTGGAGCTACGATGGCGGAAGAACGTCGAATTGTGATTCGTGATATGTTGGTGTTGATACGATCTATCAACGAAGTCAACATGGAGCCCAACGGGCTTAGCTTTGTATGTTATCCTTTCCCACGCCTCCTATGATAAGTCGGCTAACAGTGATATCTATAGACTGCCAAGGTCCGCCAGGTCGCCTCTACACTTCTTAATCTTCCCCACCCTAATATGGAACCGGCCGATTCCACCGCTTTGACAGCGGGGCCACACCCGCTGACCGTGGCTGAGGCGGAGTCTTATCTCCATGCCTTCATTGATACCCTCATGCGTCTGGAGGGAATGGCAGTTCCGAGCCCGTCAATAGCCACCGCCAGCCCACAGGCGAACGGCCGCTCAATGAGCTATCTCAGTGATATAGAACGCGACGAAGAGGAACTCCGCAAGTGGGCCAGTGTCAAGGAGTATCAAGCAAGGTTTGCAGCCGCAGGAGGATGGCTTTCAGAACTATGATCGGACGAGTGTTGTCTTCATTTTGTATATAATGTGTGTTCTCCTCTGGCTATATACACATGGAATGGCGTCTGGGCGAGTCTGACGGACGGGACGGAGTTGCTGATGAGGGTCTGATGTATATTCTTTTGGGTTGGCGTCATAGATATCCATCTGCGTATTCTACTCTGACTTGGAGCGTATCTTCGATAACTGCAAAAATAGAGAGGCTTCATTTGCCAGGAAGACCAGAGCATTCCAAAGAAAGTTCTCAAACCAAGCACAAATATTCGTGTCTTACTAGCCACTACACTGGTGGTTGGCGCGAGTCGATGTACCAAATAAGAGGCACAGTAGAGGGCTCGAGGAGGTGGAGGCTTGGGGAGGAGGCTGAGAGGAGGATTGAAGTTGTTTGGGGTTGAGCGTGAGGCTGCTTTGTATGATTTTGGGAAAATGAGGGTTTAGATTTAGGAATTAGATTGCATTGAATTAGAGGTTATCTTGGTTCTGACTAGCTAAAACGAATGTATTGTTACAATTTAATAGACAACGGGCGTATTATAGAAGAGAAGGAATGAGTGAGAGAGAGAGAGAGAGAGAGAGGATCTCATCAACCCGCAGTAGTCGTCACAGTCATCAACGTGGTTCTTGTCTCAACGGTCTTCTCAGTCACCGTCTTCGTCTCCGTCACGGTCAGAAACATCGGCGAAACAGGATTCACAACCAAAGAACTTCCATTATCAGGGCTGTCTGATACTGGAGCCGGTGCCTTCTTACTGGCGGTAGCCTGCGTAGCTGTTCGCTCACTTGGCACAGCGACAGATGTAGTAGTAGTGGTCGGCCTTGGCAATTCAACAGTGACGACTTTGGTCGCAGTACTGGTGGAATGGACGGTCACCAAGCCCGGGGCATGGGGGCTAACGGCATGGGTTGTTTGCGAGGTGGCCCAGGCAGGTGTTGTTACTTGGGGTACGCTTGTCGTCGACATTGATACTGTTCCCGTTGAGGGAATGTTATCGTCAGGGCTCAACGGGATCGTGATGTTCCGGCTTGTTGATTTCCCCGGTATAATTATTATGATTCCAGTCCCGGAGACTACCGTTCCTGTTACGTCCGGTACCGTGGGGCCCTTGGTTATTGGTATCCCGGTGGAAGGTGAGTGTGTGATTGATACCCGTGAAGCAGTCGGGGAGCGAGATATCGGAGTTGTGTGAGAGGCCGCCGCTGTGGGATGTACGGTCCATGTGTTGGATGTATGGGTGTTGCGGATTGTGCCCGAGGTCAAATGGACACTGGTATGACTGGACTGCGATGCAGTTGGACTCTGATGCGCTCCGGCAGATATACCAGGAGAACCGGCTCCTGGTAAGGTGCGGATCACACCGACGGTAGGGCTAGATGACGCTGTAGACCCAATGTTCGTGGCTGCCGTGGAGCCGCGGAAGAGATGTGATGATGTCTGTTTAATTGTAGAAGATTGGGCTGTCGTAGACCCAGGATGGCCAATGGCAGAGGGGCTTATAGGAGTTGCTGATACTGTGGGGGGCAGATGTGATGAAGGCCTTGCAGTCTTCCAGGTCGATGCACTGGCTCCAAATGGACTGGATGAGTGCGATGACGGTGTCCTGGAAGCAGTGGCTGTGGAGCTGCGGTGTCTATAGATGGTTGATGTGACTGTAGTTGTCGTGACCGTAGGCTCAGCTATCTCGCTCGATACAACAGCCGCGGAGCTGGCACGCACGACATCAGCTCTAGAGAGTGCGTCTGAGAGCAAGGTCGAATGTGTTGTATCTAATGTCTTGGAGATCGAGGCACGGGAGGTGCTATAACCATGAGCGAGGGTATTGGTTGTGGCTGTTTCAGATAGATGTGTAGCCGGTGCCGACGAGCTACTCGCGGCCATGTGCGATGATGTAAGTGTTGCCGATTCGCTCTCGGAAACTTCGTCTTCGTCTTCGTCAGCAATGAAATGGGAGCTCGACTCTGTCTGCATCGCCGTGGAGAATGTGCTAGCCGTAATACGTAAAGAGAAACTGCTGCCAGGCGTGGCAGAGGGATCTTGCAGATGGCGAGAAGTGACTGTAGAAGCGCCTAATACAGGTGACGATATTTTTTCTGTCTCATGATGCCTTCTTTCCAGCATTATTCGAGAATGAGCGATTGGACCTGCTGAGCAAAGCAAGGCAATAAAATGAATAACGAGAGTTGTATATATGAAATGCATCTTGTCGTCTGAGTTTCTAGGAGTCGAACAGAACGGTAGTATCCCTGTCTATCGATTAAGGAGAGGATGCGACGAGATTATCATTAGACCAAATCGGCATGACAAGTGGCAATTAAGTGAAGTCAGGTCAGAGCAGACAATCACACATATTAGCGGGAATAACGAATGGAAGACGTGAAAGAACGACAAAAGATAAAGGGAAACAGACGCTCTAGACAATGCAGGACCACGTAAGGAAGAGAAAAGACTCTTAAACAATGCGGTCCTTTTGTTGGGCCGGAGCGTCATGGCCGGCAAATGTCGTTGACGCGATGGAACCAAGGCAACAGAAACACATTGAAGCTCCTTTGGATTCAGCATGTCTCAAACTGGCCTGCATGACTTGAGATGGTTGGTATTTTACTGGATGGATTGGCGCGCGACAAAGCAATTGTTCTTCACCAAAGCGCCGAGTGTGGAGCGGCAGTGTTGATTGGCGCTGACGCTTCAAAGCATCCCTTTCTGAAACGAGGTGGCTCAATACCGGTCCTTTTCATAATAGGCCGGCGAAAATGGGTCTTGGGATAAGTGAGTTGTGCTTCGCTGTATGAGTGAGGTTGGATCCGAGTCTTTCGGTGAGGCTGGCGATGTTTGTACTTGATTAGGGCTGAGTTCCACCACAACCTGTTGTCGGTCTACGGTGATATCCTACTTACGAGGTCCAAGAAGTGTAGAACGATGGTCTTTCATATTTCCATTACCTCGCATTTTTGAAGGGGTGTGAAAATGAGAACTACTTGCATTTGTTCCTGCTGCACTCCTGACGAATCAGTTGTAGACTCTGACACGTTTGAGCAGCCACCGAAAGACATGAGTTCTTCCTGACAGTTACTGCGCCCCTTCTAGCTCTTTAAATTATCTCGCAAAGCCGATAATAGCCATCTTTCTCCGTTCTGACATCTGGAGTCGCCAGACAATGGTGAAGGCTGCTGAACCCAAAGAAATAATTAATAAAAATAAAAATAAAAATTTGATTGATACATTGGCCCCCTAACCATATTGCCAGCTTTTATGCCGTTCGCATTGGCTCCAGCGGCCTTCAGCGCTGCAAACCCCATAGTTATCTGTCTTCTCTCCGCTGAAGACTAGACCAGCATAGGAAATCACTTCTGAGCATCGCGACTACACGAGAAAGAATCATGGTTCCCAGAGTTACGACCAAGCCATTCAGAATTGTGCTAGTCCTCCTCGGACGGCTCTGGAAGCGCGACCAACTTCCAAGTTGCGTGCATGTATCTGCCCAGCGATGCTAAAGCGTCCGATCAACGAGAACTCGGCCGTGAAGTGGACTCGGTGGAGTTTAATTTGTGAGTAATCGAGAGAGTATAAATCAATGTCACGGTCATTCGGCCGATAAGTTACGCGCTCTTGAATCTTAATCAATATTAGTGCTATATTCTGATGTCCGCATCATATCCATGGTTGGCCGGGTTTTGATACCATACCCACTCACTAAGTCCTGTCCAGGACGCGGCCCCTTCATGACATGTGAGATTCCCTGCAACATCTACATCCGGCCGATACAGTACTCTTCGGCTTTGGAGACTCCACCCAGACCGTGAACCAGAGCTCTCGCTGCAAGGTCTTCTCGGGTGATAGTGCATGGCCCGGCCCTCGCATATGGGACCTTGTCAACCAAGTCACTAGCGGTGCAGTGGTCAAGTTTGTTCCTCGTGCTTCGTCTTGCTATCATGGTACGTCCCGTCTTATAATGCATCAGGCATCGACTCGACCGGCGCCGTATTCAAAATCGGTACCAGTAGGCAAGCCTATGAGATCTACAAAGCTGATAAGGTAGATCATATCGAAAACTCAAAGAGATTCAAATCATACCATACCCCAATATTGGCAAAGCAGATTATCATACAACTCAAGTCAATCAGGGCGGCGAATTTTCCACCTGTCAAATGGACTTTTCACTACATCGAGAGATGATAGAAAGACATTACAATATTCCCTCAATTTCCAATTAGATTCGTTCCAGATAACACATTTAAACCGTCATCTATACACTTACGGGTGGAGCTATATGACGATCATACTATAGGGTGTATAGGAAGTCCACTTTGGGCTATTTTTGGCATATTACTCGGCGTGTACGCTGCTGAGGTTTTTGAGTCCTTGCTAGATTGGACACGATGGTGAATAATTGCCCAGATGTAAGGTAGCTTCAGAATCTCATTGCCTCGACAGCATACAAATAATACCTTGTGATAAATGACTCTACTTCGGCTACTGTTCTAGTAAAGACGAATAATTCAATGCATCATGAATTGCTGTCGCGCTGTCTTTGCCAGCTAAGCTGTGTGACTAGTTTTTCGGAGGATATGTTATGTTCCTCGGTATGTGCAAAAACAACTGAGTTTATGCAAGATGTAAGGAGCAACTGGCATAAGGCTATGTCAGGAAATGATTGCCAGTAATATTCCGATTAGTGATTAGCGAAGGATCTCGGGATCCATGTCGGAAAATAAAAACCAGAAAAGAGAGATAGGAGAAAAAGCAAACAGGAAAAATAAGAAAAAAAAGGGGGGGGGCGTTTTGCTCTTCTATGTGATTATAGGGTATGCCACTCTCACACCGGATGAATCAGGCTATGTAAAAATATGTTCTGTATAGCATCAGTTCAACCTCACTACAAGTACTATCCAACTCCTTGAATCCTTTCAAAGATGGTTCTTTCCCGTATTCACAGACGATCACGACGACTTTCCCCAGGAAACTACAAGTCCACAACAAGCTCGGAGGCGCCCGTCTTGGCCCACTGCTCAATTGACCTTTGGAGGATCGGCAGTGACGGATGGCCCCTTTCACTAATATGGAGTCGCTAAACGAGAACTAGTCTCGGAAGGGTTAGAGATGGCTATATCCCCGCCCTATGGAATGGTCTATCACAATGCTCATCATTGCTTTTGTGATGCGCTGTTGCATTCCATCTGGTGCCTGTTAAGTACGACTCCCTACTTAGGGTTCAGGCGAGCGGGGGATGAAGAGGACGTTCCCAATTCAGGTTAGGGCGGGCAAGTCATCATCCAAACCCCAAACTACGGCCAGACGATGTCACCCTTCCTTCAACTCTACACCAATCGCACGGTTTCCTCCCCTTCCTTCCGGGATGCGACAACTGGATATTGATTTGTGATCGCTTGACTTATTCCTATACTCGGTCATGCGCATGCAGAGTGATCGACTCGCCTCGGCTTGAAGCGATTCACAGGGATATTCGGATAAAAAGGTCCGATATCCCCTTTGGCTGCGAACGCTTCTTAATGTCGTAACCCTTTGTCTGTTATTTCAACCATAACATCTTCAATATGGCGAATGCGAGGTTGGGTGTCGTAGCCTCGGGAACCTTTATAGCAGCGCTGCTCCTGCTGTTGCTGTTTTCTGTCGTATCAGATTCCAACCAACCACCCGTTGTCGATAGCAGGTATAAATGGGCCGACAGAAATACTGAATTCGCGTCCGATGACAGCGTTTTCTTACTAGGAGCTGGTAGAGCGGACATTACTGGGTAATCTTATTCTCTTTTTTTCCTGCCCACCCCCTTTGTCGCTTGGTTCTTCCTCTTTTCAATGGTAATGCCTCAAAGGTCCATTAACATCTTTAAACTAGGCCTGTTGTTGAGATCGGATTTGGCGGCTACGCCAGCTTGGAACAGATTGGAACTGGCCTACGACAGAGAATCTACTCTCGTGCTTTCATAGTCGCAAATCCTAACCGCCCGAAGGATACCTTCATCTATCTAATTATAGACTCGCTGACAGGTGACACTGCTGTGCGACATGGAGTCCTCGAAGGCCTTGCTAGCCTTGGCGGTGAATTTGCAGACTATGGTGAGCACAACGTAGCCTTTACAGGAACCCACTCCCACTCAGGGCCGGGTGCGTGGATGAATTATCTCCTCCCTCAGATTCCCAATAAGGGATTCGACAAGCAGAGTTACCAGGCAATTGTCGATGGTGTTTTGCTTTCGATCAAACGAGCCCATCAAAGTATAGCGCCGGGACGCCTGAGCTTTGGCTCCATAGACATTGAAAATGCGAACATCAACCGAAGCCCGTATAGCTACGATCACAATCCGGAAGAAGAGAAAGCGCGATACTCAGACAGTGTGGACAAGACCATGACGCTTCTGAGGTTCGATCGAGCAACAGATAATAAAACGACGGCCGTTCTGACATTCTTCCCAGTGCATGGCACTTCCATGTATAACAACAATACATTAGTAACTGGTGACAACAAAGGAGTTGCGGCATGGCTTTTTGAAAGAAGTGTCCAGGCCGACAAAAAGTTCGCTGACGATTTCGTTGCTGGCTTTTCCCAATCGAATGTCGGAGACACGAGTCCGAACGTCTTGGGAGCATGGTGTGAAGATGGCTCTGGGCAGAAGTGCCGATATGAAGACAGTACATGTGGTGGTACAATGGAAGATTGTCGTGGCCGTGGGCCCTACTTCCGCGAAAAGGACAACGGTGCCAAGAGCTGTTTCGAAATCGGGAAGCTTCAATATGAGGCTGCCAGAAAGCTCTATGCCCAGCTGGACTCTAATCCCACTCAAATTCTCAAGAGCTCTGATGTCCACGCCTTCCACGTGTACCAGGATCTCTCCGATTACACCTTTATCTCGCCGTTTAATTCAAGCACTCTGAAGACATGCTCGGCAGCTCTCGGCTTCTCATTTGCTGCCGGTACTACTGATGGGCCGGGCATGTTTGACTTTACCCAAAACAGCAGTGGACCGGCAGAGAAAAATCCATTGTGGTATGTTGCTCGTGCCTTCGTTCACGAACCAACCAAGGAGCAGAAAGCGTGCCAAGCGCCGAAAGAGATCCTCTTAGATGTGGGAGCAGCAACGCTGCCGTATGCGTGGACACCAAATATTGTTGATATCCAGGTTCTGAGGGTTGGTCAGCTGTTTATCATCATCTCAACCAGCGAGGCCACGACTATGTCTGGACGGCGTTGGAAAGAAGCCATCGCAAAATCCGCGAAAGACGTGCTTTCGGTGGCAAATCCCTTGGTGGTCTTGGGTGCTCCGTCGAATAGCTATGCTCATTACGTGGCGACTGAGGAAGAATACCATGTACAACGCTATGAGGGTGCTTCGACTCTTTACGGTCCCAACACTCTCGCGGCATATATTAACCTCACACTCACATACCTGCCCTATCTCGGTGACAGCTCCAGCTTGCCACCACTAAATTCCGACGTGAAACCTCCTATCAACACGGATAAGTCTTTATCATTTATTCCAGGCGTCGTGTACGATGGTAGCCCCATCGGTAAAACGTTCGGTGATGTCATTTCGTCCGTTGACAATGCCACGTATGGACCTGGTGACACTGTGAATGCTACCTTCATTGGAGCTAACCCTCGGAACAATCTACGTCAAGAATCCACATTCGCGGCGGTTGAGCGACAGAAGCCCGGAACTGACACCTGGGAGGTTGTACGGACTGACCGAGATTGGAACCTTGTTTACAATTGGAAGAGAACGGATGTGGTTCTGGGCCACAGCGAGGTTACAATCCAGTGGCAGATAGAGGATGACTATTATAACGTTGGAAACCCCACCTCCCTCAAGGACGGAACCTATCGCCTGCATTATTATGGAGACTTCAAGACCATCAAAGGTGACATCGGGGGTTTCGAAGGAATAAGTGGCTCCTTCACGGTGGCAACAAGCTAAGAACTATATATCTGAACCTTTTGGACTCAGGGATATAGACATCGCATCTTCATCCGTTGCCTTTCCTGGAGCAACTGGATTAGAGTTGCATGTCAGTAATGTTAATACATAGCTTTCATCAAAGCTTGGGATCTTTTCTCTGTGGCTTACAGACTTCTACACATGCTGGTGTAAATACTTTGGTTAGTGGGGGAATTTAGGAAACACGCTCTTTTTAATTCATGCAAATGTATATCGGTCATTCAGAATAATTAATGATGGTTAGCATAATAGCCTTCCAGGGTGCGCCAGCGAAAAAGTTATCAGATGATGATTCGGCATTGCAGTTTGTGCTGAAGAAAGTTGCTGTTTGACGACCCCAAGGGTATCGAGCAGATCGTAGTCAGTCTGACATTAAAGGTAAGGCAAAGATCATTACAAAGTGTGGACTTTGTGGTAGATGGTGGAAGAATCGTCTGCGGCGAGCTAAATGGTGCATGCACACATTCTAGCATCACGTATGTGTACGTTCTGGAAGAATAGATAGCAAGGCCCTAAAAGTGATATCTTTCTATGCATTTTCGTCAAACTAACTTTGCTTTCTAGTAGATCAAAAGGAAAACAGGGCGTTTTTCTGCCTCTAGGAGTATTCGAGAGCTGAGTTCAATACTCTCGTCCAAGATCTAACATCCCACCGAACCCCAAATTGATACATCACAAGATGTCTTGGGGTTTCTAATTTGACCACGCATTTACTAATGAGACCGTCATAATCATCACCCTCACATTGCCCTTTTTACTCATCATTAAAGCTCTAAAAATTGGCAAAACATCAAGCTGGTGTTAGGGCTCCGATTAGTCATCAGTTAGAGTGAGCTATTGATTCACCGCCCGGCAGAAAAAGATGAAGGTTGGCAGTAACCTCAACCTCATCTATACAGACTTACTACTCTTCGGCAGAGAGCTTCCCATTTCAGTTTGAGTTTATACCAGCAATTGATTTAGACCGCTTACCTCCCCTATTCAATCAATCCAATATGCCTCTCATCAATGAGTCCCATGACTCTCTCCCTTGTAGGTCTCGTCCCTACCAGCGAACTCTCTCCTTCTAACAATCAACTCTTCTAGACATCGATGCAGAACCTTCCGCCCAGGCTCGAGCTAATGCCCAGAAGCTCATCGCCTTAGAGCTTCCTGCTGACTACTCGTCGACAATTCATCCTTCCATCCCCGCATTCCCCGAATCCCAGTTTTCCCCCCTCGTGCAACAGGAGGTCGAACGGAAGGCTGCTGGATTGCCCTTGACCGGTGGAATTGATCTTTCACGCTATGAAGCTCCTGAGCCACCAACCAGATCCTCCGAGGCGGGGCCAAACGCGACCCCCAATCTTGACGAGTGGTGCCAAGCCTTGCAGAAGGCCTACACGGCTAGCTCTCATTTGTCCATGAGGCGGGATAATCTGACGCTCCTGGAAGAGAATGGCAAGAACGCGTGCTGATTGGCAACTCTCAACTGGAGGATGTCTTACGAGGACTTGAGAGGGAATTGGCCGAGACTAAGGAAGCTGCGGAGACGGTGAACAAGGAGAGGAAGATCGCTCAAGAGTCCAGCAAAGGAGAGCTTGTGGGGCTGGAAGAAACATGGAAAAGAGGCGTTGGTGCGATTCTCGATGTTGAATTGGCCTCGGAGAATCTGCGGCTGCAAATCCTGGAGCAGCGACGTCAGCTTGCGCAGCAGCACGCTCGGTAGTTGCGTTTCTTAGTCTACTTTGAGGATTCCCTGCAGTTCCTGATGCGGGGCCCGGAAACACCGGGCGCAGAGGTCACATCATATTATCACACCCAAGCAACTTCTATGTCCAGATGGCTGATCATCCTTGACTCAACCCTCCTGTTGATTTATGATTCTTATACCCTTGCATCTGAATGGCTGCTATATTTGGTGGTGTCGCCTTCCATTCTCTTTGTTGAGGCTGTCCAGTTCGAATTTCACAGGCAATGATTCTGGAACAGCGTCCATCTATCAAATCCCACGAGAACAGAGACATGTGGGTCTCTCTTTGAAAGCCAAGAAACGAGTCCGGGGTAGCAATGGATGGAAAAATCACAGGTGCATTAGCGTGAATCATCTCCGCTCGGGATTTGCAACGGTTGAAAGGGATCTGGTGGTTGGCGTCCGCCGCTACAGCATTCTGAGGATCTTGTGCGGGGAAATCCTCGAAAGAGTAATGACCTTTAGCTTCATTTTTAGCTTCAAGGTTCCTTTCCCCACATGCGGCCAACTCACGCTCAGCGCTAGTGACAAACTCTGCTATTCATACTCGGGTCGAGATGCTACATGGAACTGATTCGTGTCTGGATCCACACGGGACCCTCTCGTCGCACAGTCGGACACCACTTTCCTGTTTACTTCCAGCAAAGCTAATGTGTCGGATGTCTCGAGCTCTTGATTTCTGCGATCGGAACAGTTCATTGGATCGCTCTCGCGGACAATCCATGACTTGGGTTTTCCATGTCGATTTCCTATTGCGATTGATTTCTGGTGTCAGAGGGATGAGTGGGATGTAGGAAAGCAGTCCTGGAGCAATACGATATGAATAACCGCCTGTTTTATCCTTGAACCTCTTTCGCATCATCCAAGCCCGACTCTGCCTCTCGAACAACGGGTACCGTTCATCGCTGTGGTCGTAGTTACACATTGAATCCGTCCGGATAAATATCCAACTATTGTCGGTAGCACAAGCAGTCTCGGTGTGCGGGGAATTGTAGTAGACGACATTCTATAACTCTCATAATATAATTTCCCGTTCTTATTGATCGATCTGTGCTTGGAATCCTTGGATGTCCCTTAGCCCAGCAATCACCCACTGATAGTCCAAATCTCGGGCCTCGATACGTGTCGTACTTTTGCCGTGCGGGGAATTGGCCATACAGAAGATTCAATGCATAGAGCAGAAGCCTTGAACGCTGATAACGACCCATGGACTTGAACCTGTCCTTGCGGGGTCGTGGCTGAATATATAAGTCTCATTGGAAATTCCCAGGATTCCCCTCGGGAGGTATATCTCCCTCATAGCGATCCTTGTAACATCTCACTTCTCTACTTCGTTGATAGCGAACCAAGTACCGAGATATCACTGTAACAATGGCCATCCCAGACGAGGTCGATATCATCATCTGTGGTGGTGGGAGCTCTGGGTGTGTCCCAGCAGGCCGTCTGGCCAACCTCGATCACAACCTCCAGGTCTTGCTGATCGAGGCAGGCGAAGACAACCTGAACAACCCATGGTAAGCTAGAGGTCATCTCATTATACACCAAGAGAGATGACACTGACCAGAATAGGGTCTACCGCCCCGGCATCTACCCCCGGAACATGAAGCTGGACTCAAAGACAGCTTCCTTCTACTACTCTCGTCCATCAGAATGGCTTGACGGGCGTCGGGCTGTCGTACCTTGTGCCAACATCCTCGGAGGGGGTAGCTCGATCAACTTCATGGTACTTGACACTGCCAATCCTTGACCATGAAGGGCTAACGTGTTTCAGATGTATACGAGAGCATCGGCCTCGGACTACGACGATTTCCAGGCAAAGGGATGGACGACCAAGGAACTCATTCCTCTGATGAAGAAGCATGAGACGTATCAGCGCGCTTGCAATAACAAAGACCTGCATGGTTTTGATGGGCCTATCAAGGTCTCTTTTGGAAATTATACGTATCCTATCATGCAGGACTTCCTGCGTGCTACCGAGTCGCAAGGTATTCCAGTCACGGATGACCTTCAGGACTTGAAGACTGGGTATGGCTTTCAAGATACCGCTACTCTGATTTAATACTGACAATGAATAGACACGGAGCTGAACACTGGTTGAAATGGATCAACCGTGATACCGGTAAGTTTATTTTCCAGCCAGTGCTAACACCGCTAACGATAGCTGAATCCTAGGCCGTCGTAGCGATGCTGCACACGCCTATGTCCACAGTACAAGGGCGAAGTACACCAATCTCCACCTCAAGTGCAACACAAAGGTGGACAAGGTTATCATCGAAGATGGCCGAGCGGTGGGTGTCGCGACCGTTCCCACCAAACCCTTAGACGGCCGTAACCCGCCACGCAAGATTTTCCGAGCTCGCAAGCAAATCATCATCAGCAGCGGCACACTCAGCTCACCTCTCATCCTGCAGAGATCCGGAATCGGCGAACCCGAGAAGCTCCGTAAAGCAGGCGTCAAACCCCTGGTCAACCTTCCAGGTGTGGGCCGCAACTTCCAGGACCACTACCTTACTTTCTCTGTCTACAGGGCTAAGCCAGACGTTGAATCCTTCGATGACTTCGTTCGTGGTGACCCTGAAGTGCAGAAGAAGGTATTCGAGGAGTGGAACCTCAAAGGTACAGGTCCACTGGCCACGAACGGCATCGATGCCGGAGTGAAAATCCGGCCAACGCCAGAGGAACTGGAGGAAATGAAGAGCTGGCCTACGCCGGAGTTCACCAGCGGCTGGGAGAGCTACTTCAAGAACAAGCCTGATAAGCCTGTGATGCACTACTCCGTCATTGCCGGGTGAGTGTTTATACTCGCAAACTATCAATACTTCTTTTCTGTATCTAAACGGTGACAGCTGGTTCGGCGACCACATGCTCATGCCCCCAGGCAAGTTCTTCACGATGTTCCACTTCCTGGTACGCCATCTTACCCTCCTCATGCATCAACCAATCCTTAAGTATCCACCTGACATGATCCCAGGAATACCCATTCTCCCGCGGCTTCACTCACATCCAATCCGCCGACCCCTACGACGCCCCCGACTTCGACGCCGGCTTCATGAACGACAAGCGCGACATGGCTCCCATGGTCTGGGGCTACATCAAATCGCGCGAGACCGCCCGCCGCATGAGCGCCTACGCAGGTGAAGTAACCGGCATGCACCCGCACTTCGCATTCGACTCTGCGGCCCGGGCATTCGACCTCGATCTAGCCACGACAAAGGCATACGCTGGTCCAAACCACATCACCGCCGGTATCCAGCATGGTACGCACCGCCTCTAACATAACTCCCATGACGCAGACTAACAATGAAAAACAGGATCATGGTCCCAACCCCTCGAACCGGGCCAAACCCCCACAGAAACCTACCTCAACTCCAACAAGCAGGAGACCCGAGAACCAATCAAATACAGCCAAAAGGACGTCGAGCACATCGAGAAATGGGGTACGCACAGTCCATCTAAACATCCCCAGCCCCTTCCCTTCCCTGCTAACCAGACAAAAAAACAATCCAGTCCAACGACACGTCGAAACAACCTGGCACTCCCTCGGAACCTGCAGCATGGCGCCAAGAGAGGGAAACTCGATCGTCAAGCATGGCGGTGTCGTCGATGAGCGTCTTAATGTCCACGGAGTCAAGGGCCTCAAGGTCTGTGATTTGTCCATTTGTCCGGATAACGTTGGGTGTAATACTTTCAGTGTAAGTCTGCCTTTTTTTTTACACCCACTCTTTCTCTCTCGATGTGCTTCCTAGGAAAGAGTACGTTTGCTAATGAGGATAGACTGCCCTGCTGATCGGCGAGAAGTGTGCTGTGCTCACTGCCGAGGATCTGGGGTATTCCGGTGCGGCGCTGGAGATGAGGATCCCGACGTATCATGCTCCTGGGGAGGTTGTTAATCTTGCTAGGTTGTAGTTTCTCGTGGGGAATTCTGGTGGGTTGTTTACAAGTATGATTATGACATGCAGAATGAGAAATTGAAGTTCTTCTTTCCGTAAATGATATCTATCTTGACTAGTATATACACTGCCAATCTGTTGAGTATGTACATACATATAGTAGAATACATATAGTGCAAGAATAGACCAGCCACCAATCGGTCTGCTATTCTAACAGTAAACAAGCTGACATATACATCGATCCTGTATATACACTAAGAAGAACCCTTCTTAGCCGCCTTCTCATTCCACGCCTTGACCTCCTTACACATTCCCTCCAACGTGGTAAGAGGCGGATTATACCCAAGCCCGCCCTTCTCAGGAGACAGCCGCGCGCGCGAGTCATCGGCAATGACGTGCGCGTTCGAGATGGCAAACAGTCCCGGCTGCAGTTGAGCGAGCTCACCCGTGACCTTCGGAAGCCAGGGGAGATACTGGTGCTGCACGAAGGCGTACCATTCAACTGGATAAGACATGAGGATGAACAGAATGACGGGAACATGGGGAAATACGATGGGCGTCTTTGCAAACGTCTTGAGGACAAGGTACATGTCATTGAAGGAAATGGGCGGGTTCGGGTCTGTGACGGCGAAGGCCTGTCCGCCGATATTTGGGAGCGTGGACGGGCTGTTCGAGTGTTCGACCAGACGTTGTTCGTAGAGGAGGTGGGCGATGGAGACGTTTTCGGCGTTGACGAAGTGGTGGATGACGTCGTAGGTCCAGCTATTTTGGTGGATTCTTTGTTAGTTGATGTTGCTTTGGGGACAAGAGTGGTGATGGGTTGGAGGTGGAACTTACGTTGGGCCACCGCCACTCCGGAGATAATTTCCCATGACGCTGCCGGCGGAGTCAGAGATACCGTAGATGCCGTTTACGGGGCGGATGCAGCCGGTTCGGAAGTTGGATTTGAGGTCGTCGGCGGAACGGACGATGTTCTCTGCTTCTGCTTTCGCGACGGCGTAGTTTCCGAAGTAATCGTCATGCTCCTTGGGTATTTCGCTGGAGTCGTTAACCACTTGGACGAGGTTCTTGGGTGTCTTTGCCCAG